TAATTTGGACTTTTAAATGTTTCGTTAGAAAATCTCACGCCAGTAATAATGACGCTTCGGTTCATGATTAGGTCGTAATGATCATTCGCAAAAATTATAAGCAAATAAAATCAAATGAAACATAAAACGCTAATTTGATAATAACCAGTAATAATGAACATTATTATTAAAATATATTAATATCAACAATGAATGCATTTTTTTAAAAATCTCTTTCATATGAAATGTTTTTTACTAAAACTTTCAGACAAGTCTCGGAAAAATCTTAGTTATTTTTTAATTCGCAGGATCCATGTGATTCATCTTGCAGCATGTTTGCGAAAAATCAATAAAATTATAAAAAGCCTTGAATCTACACACCTTCTTTCTTGTGTATTTCTGATTAGATTTTACTCTATTCTCATTAAATGACATTTAGATGTTAGATAGCTTTCCTCTCCTTTGATATTCCTTTCACTTCTAGCTCCATTATGATAATGTTAATGAGCTCATCATGATTTAAATGAGACTTCAGTTTAAATTTCGGTTTTCTTTTCCTTATATTCATAAGATTCAAAAGAAAATTATGAAAATTAATTGAAGAACGCTATGTTATCTTATCTTATTTCTTTAAAATTCTTTTATCCTATAATTTGTAAAATAATAAATTTCCTAATACTCTTTCACAAAACAAACGGCTTTGTTCAATAAAAGTGAATTTAGTTCCAGCTATTAAAGAGTACATCAAAAGGGCAGGTTTAAAGGAAATTTAACTTCTTTAAAATTTCTTCTCCTATGCTCGCACTTATATTTTTCACACATTTAGAATATTGTCCTTCTTTAACATAAAGGGAACGTTCAAAACTGATAAATATTTATGAAGTTTATTTGCAGTTCTTCAATTTTTTTTTTTACAACATAGTTTAGTTTTGATATACCTATTATATATATATATATATATATATATATATATACAACTATGTCCACCACACACACACACATATATATACATATATATATATATATACACATATATAATTACAAAACAATTCTTTTGAAAACAAAACATAAACATGTCTAGTTATTTTCGCGAGTTAAGCTAAGAAAAATTTATATATATATATATACAAAACAGCTCTTTTTTATTTTGGCAACATAGGTATAGTTGAAATGCGATTTACGATTAGTTTATACAAACATAATCTTTCTTTAATTTTAAGGTTTTATTTACTTTGGAGCAGGAAACGTGAAAAATCATTTAAGCCTTCCCTTAATTCTTTATATTCTCCCCACGTAAAAGAAAAACTATGGAAAAGCACGAGAACCAGGCGGTAGGAATTATCGTCACCACATTTTATTTCGGACAATATTGTAGAGACATTAGGTTGTAGAGTCATTAGGTTAATTGGAAGCAGAAAAGATGAAAAATATGCAACCGCCTTCGCCGGGAATCGAACCACGGACCTCTGGAATACCGACCCAGCGTGCTGAACCACTACACCACGAAGGCACGCTAGGGAAGTGGGAGAAATACCTTATAAGGTTTTTCGGAGCAGGAAACGTTGAAAACTAAGTCAAAACCAAGACGGGAGTCCAACCACTGACCTTCCAGTTGCTAGCTGGCGTACTAAGAACGTTCTCAATGAGAGCATAAACGGGGTAACACGATAATTAATTACTTTTCATTGTTGTTAGATTTACTAAATTTTATATTATGAAGAAAAATTTTTAAACGTAATTCCAGTTTTACTTTATACTGTGTTATATTTTAATCTTATTTTATCTAAGAGATTTAATTTAATAGATATTACGATTATTTTTAGATATTTCTCACTGCATTTAGAACGAGGAAAAAATGTAATCTTTTGACAAATATTCTGTTCCGTCTTAGAATAAAAATTAATCTTGTTCATATCGTTATCGCTGAGCTTATAAGTATTAGTACGTGCTCATATCTTTTAATCATAATTATTTTGTGGTTATCGTTTCTACTTAAAATTAGATGAAAAGGAGAAGATAACGCTAAGCGAGCTGCTAAAGTTCTTCAAAATTTAAAAATACCGTAAATAATTATAGCATTCATTTAGTATACGTAGTGATTAGCACATCTGGCAAGCACTGAATGTAATGCCTTAAGACATACAAAACCGACAAATGCAATTCGACAGAGATCGGTTATTGATAGAGGAATAGCTTTTAACTGGATTGAAGCCTGATAATAAATTGCTGCATTACAGAGAAAGTCCACAAAACTACACCCTTGCCCCGGATAGCAATCATCAGTTTCAGCAATTTTATGTGAATGACGCGTTCAGAAAGTATTTAGCATAATGGGCCTCTCACTGTTGCGCAAGTCCGGAGTTTTGGGTAACATTGTCGCAGCATGTGTGACCAATGTGCGTCTTCCCCTTCCCTCCATTGACTAAGATACACATGTCGATCAGCCTAAAGTGTTCAGTACACGGGATTTAATTGATGCAAAATAGAATCATTTCAAAGCTGGAAAAAATTACGAAGAAATGATATTTAAAATTAGCTTAAGGTACAGTATGCAATTTTATCTTCTAAATCAGTCGTCCACATTTTTTTTCCTCACAAACGCTTAACGCGTTCATCCCAGAATAAGTCAAGAAAAAGAAATACAAGTTTTGTGGCTAAATAGAAATTATCCGGAGCTGTTTATGGTCCCTTAATGGAAAAGTTGCTGGCAGTGGTGTATAGTCAGCGAACTAGAGGGACTAGGGATGTTCGCTAGCATTTTATGTATTAACACTTTCAAGTATATTTTTACTTCCTTTTTCAAGTATTTTTTGGAAACGGCGCATTATTCATTTTTTTTTTTTTTTTTGCGGAAATAGGAGCTTGGATCTCGCCTACTCTATGTGAGAAACGATTAGCAGGTGTTCACCTGTTCCCCTAAGATATGCTGTTGATAATACAGTCTTTGTAATCAGTTAAGCAACTCTTGAACTAAGAGAAGTATCTGATGCAGCTCTAGAGAAGTATTGGAGGTCAACGTTAACACGACTCAGGAAAAATTCAACGAAATTTGGAAGCAACAAAAAGCTAACAATATCCAGGAAAACCGCAAGCTTTCGTAATCTACAGGTATTCTGAAAAATAACCAGATTACCAAAATTCCGCATTGACAATAAAAAATATCAAAATAGTCAAGTACTTAACATATCTGGTAATCATAGCAGATAATAAACTTAACTTTATTTAACACCTACAGCAAATTAAGAAGAAAACTTTCAGTATAACTAACAACCTGAAAAGAATGCTGGAAATCGGACGGGGCGAGAATCACCAGATACAAGAACTGATGTAAATACTGTTATGGAAAGAATTGCACTGTATGGTGCAGCGATAAGAGCTTCCCGTTGACGGTGATAAAACAAAAGCAACTCCAATCTATCCAAAAACCCTTCCTTTTGAATAATTCCCTAGCTTATAGAACAATTTCACATGCTGCACTGTACCACTTCAGAAAGATGATCACTTTCTTAATGTGACCACTTCTGAAAGTGGCCAGTTCTGTGAATTTAAACAAACACTAGTACTGAATCTCATTTCTTTAAGACGAACACTACCACTATCCGTGAGCGGAATCTTAGAGAAGTTTATAATTTTTTTTCGTGCCTAATCCCCGTCGGTGAAACCACGGCATGCAACTGGTTGCTGGAACTGCTGCTGCTATAGTAATGCCCACTCAAAACACGATCAATGATCAACGAAGGGTCTGTTACGAGTTTCAAGCCTCTGACCCCATAGCATCACAGATTAAAAATTTTGCAGCTAAAAATGGGTTTCGCAAACAGAAATGAAATGTCAAAGATTTCTTTCATAAGAATACTGCCTTTTGCAGGAAAATAATCAAAGAGCTTTTTGAGGTGTTTAGCCGACGGATATTGGACCTGACAGGAAAAGTCGTAGCAGCAAACTGAAACATAAGTGTGACGAAAGGACCGGTTACCCAGGTGTAGGATTAATTAGTCAAGGTCAAATTACACAAATTTCAAATTTAAGTAGAAATTAACTGGAATGGGTTAACGCTTTTGTATAGCTCAAATGACTAGGCCGGGTATCAAATACTGGCCAACGATTTGCATAATGTTATATTCCGGTCAAGTAGCGGCATTATCCACTAGTATAAAAGCTTTCAATTCCAACTCTAGCATTGCAGAGAGGCCGAGTGCTGCTTGGCAACCGGAGTCTGTTCCAGAGAGACAAGCGAAGTTTATTCCAAAGGGTCGAATAGTAATTCCCAGTGTTCCAGGAAGATAAAGAGTAGACCGTGAAAATGGCCAGTTCCCTCTAAGGCAAAAAAATAGCTTTTATATTTCAATAATTTGTTTCTTCTGCTCGCTCACTTATATTATGCTATGTTTCTTCAAAATTCAAGTTTTGAAGCTGCTTTGTTTTCTACAAATATAAAGATTCGATGATAGATAATAACAAGTTTTTTAAAACGTTTGTTTAAATGATATTTGTTAAGTTTCTTTGAGAAAAATAATTTAAAGAAATCATCAGCTTTGCATTTATTTAATTTTTCTTGCTTTAATGGTAAGTGATGCACTGTAATAAAATAACTGCGATTCTCAAAAAAAAAAAAAAAAAAAAAAAAAAAAAAAAAAATATATATATATATATATATATATATATTATTGTCGCTACTGATTACAGATTGCTGCCTCAGCTTCTTCTGGGAAGACCATCCTGATAACAAAGTATTAAGTGCTTTTTTTTTTTTTTTTGAAATACAAAAACTAATTTTTTATGAGTTTATCAAATCAATACGTTTGCTTTTACTGATCCATCTGTATCTTGCTGGGCAGACATTACTGATGAACAAAGAATAACGTAGAATTCTTTTATTACCGTCGAAGGAGGGATAATACAAAAATATAAGAACTATTTGTGGAATTGTACTTTTTATGTTATATGAAATAGCATGCGTTTCAGAAATTGAACAGTAAAAATAAAGTATCTCTTAGTTGATGAAATAGAAAATAACTTACGGTATCCATGAATGGCAGAGATAATTCCTTTCTTGTATATTTTCGAGGCTCTGCATTCTGGAAGGCAACCATGCCATTAATAGCACCGGTGCGCCTCTTCGCCGATGACTGCCTTTTAGGCATGGCTTCTATTTTCTGTTGTTTCACCAATCGCTTCCAGGCTTCTCGTACTTTAGTCAGTCGTCTATATGCTTCAGTTAAGCTTACTCTTGAATACAAAAGAAAATTTATCAGCTTTTATAAATTTAAACTGTAAATATAATTTTATGATCTATAATTATGTTATCAGCTAGAAATCTTCTAAAATTACTGATAAGTTAAACTAATTAATTAATAATATATTTATTAATTAAAATTTAATTATTATTTTACTTTAATTTATTTGAATTGCAATTTTTTAAGAATACATAATTTGAAGTATACTTATTAAATGAATAACAATTTAAAAGGGCAAAAATAAATATGCCTCATTTTCTTCTTTTATTTTGAAATTTACGTATTTTACGTTCTCTAGCGGCAGTGATAAAGCACATTTATTTTATACCAGGGGAAGCCAAAGTTCAGGGCAGCAGGAGCTGCATGTTAGGATTAAGGATATTTCGAGAGCCGCAGCTAGATTTTATAACGTTTATAACTATATTTATCACGATTTCTTATTTACATCATTTTTAAAAGTAATGAAACAGATTTTCATGCAAAGAAACGTTTGAAGTGAATTAATGAGAATTTCGAATTTTTATGCAATTAATGTGGTTGCAAATAAATATAAATAAGAAACTTTATTTCTCTTGTTATACAGACAAGGAAATTTGTTTCTATGATATACAAATCTGAAACTATTGTACGTGGCAAATTAGTTTTTCCTTTTTTTCAAACAGAAAGAACGTTTTCTTCTAATTTTCTTCTTTTCTCCCGCCGTTTATAATTTTTGAATGGCTTATTATATTGTTGAATGGCTGCGTTTATAATTGTTGAAGTATTCTGAAATCGAAATAAGGAATTATAATCGTCTTTGCGAGTACAACCATGTAAAAAGCTTTTCATGTAAGTGAAGAATAAAATACTAATCTGAAAAACAGATCCAGTAATTTTTATTCATTTTTAACTCATGCGCAGTTCTCTGAATGGATTAAATATGTGAAACGCGTAGCGAAGAACTTGCTGTTTTAGAAAGGTTTGGTATAATTTATGTGATTACGGCAAAGCCTCGAGGTCTATCTGCCTAACAGGAGGGATGCCTTCGTGGAGGACATTATAAGAGAACTTGTTCGGATACACGTTTACACGTAGAGAAAACCACCGAAAACGCCCGTTCGCGGAATTCGAACCTCGGACCGAACTAGCAGCATCCAGTGACTTTACCGCTCGGCCGCTGGTGGGTCTTGTTCGAGAAAGATTTGTTTGAATTTAGTGAAATACACAATTTATTTGAATTTGTCGAAACACACAAGGACTACCTAACGAAGAGGAAGTGTGCCTTCCTAAAGGATTTTCTATAGCAACTAGGCTCATCAAGAAAGTAATGTTGTTTCAAAATAAACAGTTAGATTTTTCAGGATTCTGCATAAAAACAATAATGTAATTTTTCCCATACAATTAGCATGAACATTAACTTTTAAAATCAAACCCAGCCTGAAATAATTAATTTAATTCTTTACATGCGATTTATATTATCAGTTACTTTTCATTTTTTCTACGATTAAGCCATTCATATTTTCGGAACCTGTGGAACTTTAAAAAAGATTTGAATTTCTTAGAGCTATTATTATTATTATCATCATCATAATCAGCTGAATCCCAACTAAGAAACTGCCGAATGTTTTTAAATCCTATATTTTTCAAACACAAGTTTTAATGGTACTCTAAAAAACGAATGCAATTGTTGCTTCTGGGGGAGCGGTGGTGGAACCTGAGTACCTGGGTGACGATGACCTACTACGTACAGAGTAAAATTTTCATTTCCTGATTTTGACACAAGAAACTAATAAATTGGCATTTATTATTTTTAAAGCTTATTGAATTTTAATTAATATAATATATATATAAAATATTTTTTATAAATTTGTATTTAGGTTTAAAGTATGTATAATTGCTAAGCAAATAATAACCTATACATAAAACGACAAAACACACGACCCTAATTTATTCACAGACCAAAAATACAAGTTCGATTTCGTGAGTTTGCGGGAAAAAACATGGATTAATGTAACACAGGCAAGTACGAGTCATAGGCCCTTAGGGTAGTTGTAACAACAAGAATAAAGTGAAAAAGCAAACAAATGATACACAAAATATATTACACAGCAGTACAAGCAATGATGAGGAGAGAACAATACAGATACAGATAAACGAAAGAGCTGGATTTACACAATACACTAAATTACATAATATATTTGTTAAGTACGGCCGTTGGCCTATTGTTATTTGAGAGGTCATCAGAGTCATAGGTACAAATTTTAATAACAGGGTTATTGATTATCCCCTGCCTTTAGTGGTATCTTTTCGCAAGGAAATAATAATGCGTCCTGAGCTGAACAACATTCAGTTCTTCATGAATTAAGTTATTGCGAAGATACAACGGGCCATCTACTATCTAATGCAGAACACAGTTCTGCGCTATCTGCAATCTTTTCTCATTACTTTTACAAGCATAGGCCCAGACTGGACACGCATAGCAAAGCATGGGACTTAATGTGGATTTGTAAATAAGTAACTTATCGTCTGTATATAAAGCAAAGATGCAATTATTGTAGTTTCAGTGGTATAGTGGTATGTGAATCACTAACTTCACCCAGGACGGCAATGTTTGGTACACTGTTTTAGTAAGACATCCAAACAAATTCCCTCTATTCTCACTCAAGTAAATGCACGCTGCTCTTTCTGGAAAATTCTCGACTCATCTCGATAATTATAAATACAAAGACCCTATTACAAATAGCTCTTGGAAGTTTCTATAAGCTTACGATGCAAAAACGTTCCGTCGTGAACGTGATTCTAGTTGTCTACCAACTGAACTATTTAGCTATGGTTGCTGAATTTTTAAGTGTTGATTAAAATTTGAGCTAGTACTCATAAGGAAGTTTGAATTACAAATTACATTAAAAAGATAAAACTCGAGATTCTATAAATGAAATATGTAATTAATTACATATTTAATTAATAGAAGCTCGAGTAATTAATTACACAATTAATTAAATGAAATATGTAATTAATTACATATTTCATTTACCACATTTCATTCGCATTTTTTTAAAATGTAGTTTCATATTTGTTATTTATGAAAGGCAGATTTCATATTTTACTTTATTTAAAACGTTCAGCTTTATTATATTCGTAACACTGCTGTGCAAGCTTTGAGATACATCATCATAATGTCAATGTAGGTAGATATTGACAAATTGCAAAAGGCAGCAATACTACAAACTGAGGAAGACAGTTTTAAAATTGTCTAAGGTCAGGGGGAAATCTTTCCCTCCCACTATCGACTTCGCTAATAAAACGCTGATTAGGTCAATAAAAATGAAAATTCATGAGCTAAATGTAGCTGAACCGTGGCACAGAAGGGATGATCAGCTATGCAAAAGAAGATTCATGGTAATATTCCAGTCAAAGTTTCTTATAGAATGTGCATTTCAAATAGACATCTGAATCGAGCTTTTGCTAACCATGGATATTTTCCGATATATTATCTAAAATTTAGTATAAAATACTGGGCACGTCTGTGTTGTTGGTCGGATGAAAATCTTACTAATATTATTCTGCAGTTCACTCGGTTTCAAAACGTATGAAAGAACTACCAACTAATGATCCTATAAAATTTAATGTGGGATAAATAGGAAAAAGGAATACTGGAGGAAAAAGGAATACAGAGTCATTAGGTTATTTTGAAGCAGGATACGTGAGAAATGTGAAATGGCCTTGCCATAACTCTAATCTTGGCCTTCTCGAATGCGCGTCGAGTATACTTCCAATTACACCCCCGACGGTATATGGAAAGGAGGGAGAAAATACCATATATACGCCTTCCTATTTTAAATAGAGTCTGGGGATTAGAGGACCTAATCGCCAATTCTTGGTGGTGGCGAAATATTGTCCACTGCCTTATAGTTCGGGTGCCACTTATAGAGTTATTAGTTATTAGTTTTGTAGATGCAGGAGAGTGTCCAGTTAACGTCTTTAGAGCATTTTGAAGGGAAAAGTGCTTAGAATATACTTTGTCGATGCCTAATTTAGTATGACAATAGGAAATCAAATATCGCATTTCAAAACTGAAAATTTACCTGGCAAAACTTCAAATGAATTTTATAGTGAATTGCGTGAAGTTTATAGCGAATCAAGCATCAATAAATCCTACTTCAGTCTTCCATTGAGCTACCCTTTATGGAAATTTGATGCTTGCAAATGTGCTAGTAAGGAAGAAGATCGTCGAGTAGCATGTGAGGAAATATCTCAAGCTACAGTCATATCACTAACATCGTTATATCATATTTTTAAAAATGCTTTGTAGAAAAAACTACTTTTTCTCAATGGTTTCCTTACCACTTGACGGGACTTTATTGAAACAAATTTATGTTGATAAAAGGTAAAAGACATATGTGTCGAACAATCTGACGAAACATAATTCAGTTACTTTCGAACAGATTTTAGATGATGGTTAATCTAATGAAGATAATCCCATCTACGACACCAAACATTTTGGCATGTACAATCAATCATAAGATGAAGTAAACGATGATCTCTGCCTAGGATACGAAGGAGTCTTTGAAAGAGGTTTCTTCAGCGTAAGTTTAAGCCATTCGATGAGTGAGAAGAAGCAATACCTTACAAAGAATAGTAACTATTCTGAGAAACTAAATTGCGGTTATTGGGAAGCAGGAGGACTAGGAGAATTTCAAGGAGAAACTGCCTGAATTAAAAAAAAAAAAAAAAAAAAAAAAAAAAAAAACTTGAGAAGAAAAACAAAATATATGATTTTTTAAATGATCTTCACATTTGTCTTCTGTGCTGTCCCTATAGTTATAATCTGCTCTAAAATTAACGTAGTCCTTACAGAATAATTCACTGAAGCCGAATTATTTGATTTGCTAATTTGTTTCCTACTCTAACGATTAGTTGACGAAGAACATTTTGAAATCGATTAAATTATTACACACATAATAAAGTAATATAAGAAATTAAATTACCAATGGATAAAGAAGCAGTTCATGC